CGCAGTCACAGTCTATTGATTTTCGTGCACCACAAGATTATTTGGCAAGCATCAACGTTGAATTTGTCACACTGAGCGCGGTGACGATTACGTGTGTACGTCCGTTGGCGGATATCACATGCAGGCAGGCCGGAACATTCTTCACATAGAGGTACTCATCCAACTACGCCACGTGCCTTCGCGTAAACTGACGGTCTGTGTGTCTTTAAGACCGTGTCGTATATGGGGGCAACAGGATGGTAATGCTGATACGACGTGTGTAAACAGTCCAACCGTCGATCGATCGTTGTGCGCAAATCGCATCAGTTCGTATCCATTGGTTTGGTGCACTGTTGGTCTTTTCCTGTCGTATATATGTGTGTAGGCTTTTGCGGCTGTTTGCGTTATCAGTGTAGACTAACCCCACGAGGTGAATATATATTCCAAGTCTTAGTAATGGGTGGTAGGTGGGGGAGATCCGTTCCCGGCTACGGAGAAGTGTGACTCCATGAGCAACCTCTGTAGCTAAGAGGACGACTTGGAAAGAATGAAACCGAGGTAATTAGTCAACCCTATTCAAATCGAATCCGCCCTAATTAACACACAACGTTGTCAGTGGCCATCGTGCGGTCTGCGCGTCAGATGTAACTAGTGAATACCGATTACAACTTCGATTTACTCAGTGATCCGCATAGTTACACAGTTCCTTTGCGCCGAGTCGTCTTTACATCTTGTGAATAATGCGTAGAAAGCTATAGTTTTTGTTCACTTCATGCGGCACGTGGTCTGTGAGCCTCAGGCAATGAAGACCTGCTTTTGTTGCGCTTAGTTCGAGTGATAAACTGGTTGCGGTACGTTTACATCAATGTCCCCTCAACCTGATCATTCCAAGGTCCCTGAGTCACATTTCAGTGGAACAAGTTGCCCTTAATTTTGCATTAATCGTAATACTACAGAGGTGCTTGAAAGTTTAAATATGCTGCTATCACTAACGCAACTTGGTCAGCAGTTATTCAACAAATTTAACAACAAACCGCTGGTGGCACTCGTTTGTGTTGTTGTGGTCAATCGGTACGATACCTTTCAGTCCAGTTTCCGACTCTTACCACAGAACCGAGGTTCTGTAACGCAGTGTTCAAAATTACCAGGGTGTTTGCAACTGCTCATCCTGGGTCTGCATCGTAAGTTGGACTGCCTGCTTCTCTCCCCCCATACACAACGGTTCTTTTGTACGTATGGAACTTCCGCTCTTGTGCGGAAAGAATACGTCCAAACTGCCGTAAAATATAAGAGTCATGGGCGATAAACTCAAGTCACATTGGCAATTCCCGTTCCACTTGAGTGGGAACCCCAACAGTAGACGTGGACTTGTCACGAGTATATGGATGTTCGAACCAACTTAGTCTTAGTAAACAGTTTGTCGTCAAATAACTGAACTGAGTTTGCGTGATTGTCTCCTCAATTCCAATGCCACCATGACATTTCGTACCTAACCATTTCAAGCATACCGGGATTCTCTGAAGGTTAGACCACTATGCGAAAATTGACAGCGTCGTCACTGACGAGGAACGCTTTTGTGGACCCCTAGGGGAAGTGGTATCTTCTCGGATGGATGCTTTTTGTTGGGGATTGCATATCTACTACTGTATTTTTTATTGCCTGTTGGTTCGAAATGAGGGCGTAACTAGAGTCAAGTTCGTACAGTGAGCCAATGTTCCTCAATCAGCAATCGTAAAGAACAATCAATCAAACGCCTGAAGCCTCATAACCAATAATAGTTGTCAATGAGCACGCGCACGCGTGATTGACAGCATTTGTAGGGAGGTCTAGTATATACGGAATTCGGATGTTCATAGCTTAGAGGTTCAAGGAGACTGGACCTTATCGTCCTGTGGCGGTTTATTTATCTCCTTGGCTCACTGAGCTATATTGGAGGCCTTCAATTTGACAACGGCAGAGTTTCTCATAGCAGGATGGTCAGTGAATAGAGGCCTGACGATCACAGTCTCCTGATCGTTTTTTAGGTTGGGGTTAAAACAGGTATTACGACTTATCCCTAAAAACATGCACTACTGTAGTAGCACTGTAGCACTAGTGTACTACTAGTGCTTTAGTAGTAGTAGTGGTATGCCTCTGTACACCCGCTGCCTTGCTGTCACGTTTTTAGGCCAGGTATTTTGGTTGAGGATCCTTATCGTGCTCACGTTTGGATTTGGACACTGACAGTATCTCAGCCCGTGTTACAAACAAAAATATCGTCATGCCACTTTGACCGTCACGTTTGGGGGCATAATGCGGTCCCTATACTCACATACTTCTGGATGTGTGATAGTGTATGGTTAGCTCTCCAAAAGCTTCCATACAAGAAGTGGTGTCTGACAAGGATGTACACGCTATCCTTGTTCAACACTGTCAGGTCTTCAAAAGCTCAAGTGTTCAAGTCGTTGCCGGTAGGAATCTTGTCGATTTTGAATACGCAGACGACATCGTCCTGAAGATAAATGCAAAACGCAGGTCCTGTTAAGTAAACTGCCCACTTTTCGGTGTGCGCCTTGCATCTTTTAAGTGCAGAACGTGCATTCTCTGAACATGCTCCTTACACTTCAAGGAATGGAGATAATGGCGGATTTTACATACCTCGGTAGTTGCTTTAGCTCTGATGGAAGTGCGTCTGATGAAGCCAGTGCGCGAATCTTTAAGGCCTGAACGACTTTGCTAATTTGCACCACTTATGGCGTCAAAATGGCATATTACTGGGTCTCAGGGGTTGTGTGTGCCAGACTACAGTAAGACTTTGTTGTATGATTGCGAGACATAGCCAGTGCGGACGGGTGATGTGAAACGTCTCCAGGGTTTTGAGCACCGGTGTCCCAGAAGCGTTGCTGGTGTCAGATGGCGTTAACGAATTATTGACGAGATAATGAAAGGCGGGCTTTTAGTTGTTGCGGTGGGTCGCTCCAAACACCCAACACCGTCAACTGCAATGGCTCGGTCATGTGCCACGCATATTCAATTATCGTCTACTGAGACGAGTGTTGTTCTCCGTGCCTCCTTTGGAATGGCGCAAAGCACGAGTTGGACAGCGCTTGACTTGGATAAAGGATCCGAAAGAGATTATGAAAAGTTTGGGTGTTGTTGGTGCGGTCCGCCCACCAGGATCGGGTCCCGCTGAACCCCCTACCCCTAGCTAGAAACATTGCAAGAAACGACGGTCGGTCAATGTCAGTGGTGTTCGGGCTGCCCCCGTTTGTTTCTAGATTGTCCAAGTGCTTGGAGTGTAGGCACCTGAGATCGTTTTCGGTAGGCCAGCAACCAGCTCCCTTCCTCATCCATTCTTTATCTTTTTCACTCTGATGCTTTAAGTATGATTAGGTAAACTTTGTGGTTGTACGACATCCGTGTCAACACTGATATTGCTGTCTCTGGCGATGATGATGATGGTGAGTTTAGAGGTGTTGTAAAACATCGCAGAATATCTTACTAGGACCTACAGGACGTGAACGTTTGGCATGTTCGTACTCCTCTGGGTTCCGCTGGCTCTGCAGTGTGTTGGGTGTCGTGTTTGTATCGATCACGCATTTGCTGTTTGATAAAAGTAATCATTTAGTTGGCGTACTATCGTGTAGGCGTACCACATTCTATAGAGCTAACTCAGATGACTTCCAAAAGTGCTAGCAGGCTTTTCTCCCATCACCCTTTTATCACATCGGAATCGCGGGCGTTCATGATGCGGTGGCAGAACGAGTGTCTGCTTTGCTTGTAAAGGTTTTCCTCCACCGCCGGTGGAGATGAGTGGTGTAATCATCTTTTGCTGTCACATTTTTCACCTAATGACCGCTAGGTATTTTCCCTAAGATGACTTAACGTGAATCTTGTAGTGTCCCGGTGAAAATCTACAAATGGTTGATATTGCAAATTCGGAACATCCAGTCTGGAACGTGCCGCGTTGCGTACGCTCCCTTCCTCCTGAACCGCTCAACGTTACACCAAGCTACCTTCAGGTTTTCATCAACTATCTTTTAAGATGTGGCGAAACGTCTTAACAGTTTGTGGCAATCAATATGTAACACCAACACCCACAAAGTAGTACACAGGAGCGAAGACGCTGAGAATCAGCAGTTCTTTATTACTTGCGGACGCAACAAACGACGAATTAGAACACCTAGGCACGTCTGACATCCAGGGTCACTTTTTAAGTTCACNGAACCGCTCACGTTACACCAAGCTACCTTCAGGTTTTCATCAACTATCTTTTAAGATGTGGCGAAACGTCTTAACAGTTTGTGGCAATCAATATGTAACACCAACACCCACAAAGTAGTACACAGGAGCGAAGACGCTGAGAATCAGCAGTTCTTTATTACTTGCGGACGCAACAAACGACGAATTAGAACACCTAGGCACGTCTGACATCCAGGGTCACTTTTTAAGTTCACAGCAGTGGGCAACAGCGTGATTGGGTGTAGGAACTGTGTGGCACCTGCACGCGGATAAAGTGAATGTTGTGAGCCGCTGCGACCATGGGAACAGGTCTGACACAGATAACAGGTAATAATTCATAGACCCACACAATGGGAACAAGTCATTACGACCCAAGGGTAGGTGCATAAAAAACTGTTTCTTCTTCAAGTTGAATCTCCAAAAAGGGCCACCTTCACGTGATTTTATGCCCAATTGTGGATTCATCGATTAAGCCTGAAGAGATCGATCACGCTCACGTTTTGCTTCACATCTAACTGACTTCATCGTTTGTGACCAGCTAGTTATCTGATCCTTCGTGGGAACTGAATTCTCATGAAACTTAAGTAGTTGAGATTAGTGGTCACCATCTAGCTGATATCCTATTTTACTAGAAGTTGTAACAAATTTCCAACCGACTTTCCTAATTTTACTTCTGTGGAGATGAGTATTTAAAACACTTCGTTGATGACAACCAGACTTCGACTGTTTGATATTGGCCCTGCTATACTTGCTTCTTCTGTCACATCTTTTTTTTACCGTTCCCTCATTATCTGACACAGGTCTTTCTCCTGACCTCCAAAATATGGAACAGATCAGACGCATCCTAAGACCCTCAGATATACCGGACACTGGTGAGTTATCAGCGACATACTTGGTAACCCGCTAGTTTGTCGATTCATTGGCATCATGAGGAATAATTTGGTGTTGGTCTTTTCAGCGTATTCGTTCTTTCTGCTCGATACATCTATACAAAAGGGGATAAATATCGAGGTAAGGAAATTCTCGTCGGTTCGTTAACTAAGCCCTGGTGGGTTTTATCAACCATATGTGGATTAACTGAATACAGATAAGATCAGTGATTCGAGGATTGCCCGTGTCATCGGAGGGTTTAATATTGTTGATAGAACTGGTAAAAACGGCTGCTTTGGTGCACGTGTACACCCTCAATCGTGGCAAATTTCGGTTTTTAGTGTGCTGGTCGATGAATTTTTGACATACTGTTGTGTAGTGCCTAGGTAGTTTGATTTACCTCAGCTCGGTCTCTGACCTTTACCAGTCAATTGCACCCATCACTATGGTGACCGCGCACTACATCAGTTCAACTCGTTGTATTGGTGGCGGTCAGGATGGACACTGTCGTGAAATGCCAGACTGATGCTTTTTTATTTACGGCTCATGTGGATTTATGACCCTGGTAGCTGCTCCCTACTTTTCTGTCTGGGGCGCGTGCGCAGGATTGTTAGTGAGTGGTTAAATTAGTCTTGGCGCACATGATGGTGGAGACAATATCCAGCTAGAAGAACGTCGGGGTAGTCTAGGTGCGACCGACGGTTTACTGTTCAAGATGTATGATCTTGTGAATTGAGGTAATCCTTGATGTGAGCGACGGATGTAAGCTTCGGAGATTAAGTCGCCTCCTTCTGAATAGGCTTTTTAGAGGGAATTACCGAAAGTGGTCCTTTCTGATGGGTAGTCAATCTTGAGGTGAGTCAAATCTACTTTTCTTGTGCATGGGCGCTCGTAATATGAGTGTTGCATCTCCAGCAGGAGACTCCCTATCAATGCGTTGTTTAAGATGGTTCCTCGATCCAACAGGGGAATGGAATGATTGGTTTGTGCTCTGGATTGGCGGATCGGGATGCGCGCTACCTCGCGGGTAGCAAAAGTTTCTCTGCTAGTCCGGTTTGGTTGCAATCCTTTTGTGGCTTGACGTCGGGACACAGTACACTTGTCCACCAGGATTCCTGTGTGTGGGTAAAGATTGATCTCGACTGAACGTGTTGCTCAACTTCAGCAGTGACCTTGACAGAAACGCTGGTTAGCTACATACATACGGTTGTATCATTATACTCTCATGTTGTCCAGGTTGACTCGGTGTTCCACTCTATAACATTGTTAGTTTAAAGCTGGCACGGAGCTCCCCCTTGTTTTTGTCACCTTCACATCATCATCATTACCGAGAAATTAATCATTAATAACTTGACTACCATATAGCCGTTAGGAAAGAACGTCCTGTTAAGAGTGGAAGAAATGAGAAATAAGGGTTTAGTGTGAGGAAAAAAGCGTTCAGCTGTAGCACCCTTCCGGTGCCTAGCTGCCATGCCACCCGAAGGAAGCACGAGGGCTGGGATACTGCCAGGTTGCCCAAGCCTAGACAGGGAAGTCGGGTGGCGGATGTCGGATTCGAACTACGGACCTTCCGGTCAGTAAATTCGCGCTCTAACCAAGAAAAACAGTCAAAATCAAGGTGTCTATGCTGTGAAACAACAGTGGGATAAACCCATCTGAGCAATATCTCGGAGGTAGATGTCGTTAATGAGGTTGACCCAAGGTCTTTTACGAACTTCATTGAACACAAGCCCAACACACAACGACGGACAACTTTAGCTATGCACTGCATCTCGGAAGTGACAATGTGGATGTCACCAGGATCAGCCAAGTGCCATGGACCCTGTGCAAGAAAGCTGGAATATCCTAGAGCACTCCACCTTATAGTAGCCGTTTTCGTTTCGTATCACCGCGTCGTGACCTGTCCCCCCTCAAAACTTTCATTAGCATAGGTTTGCAACGAAAAAGCGCATGGGCCTGCTTAGTACATTTCTAAAGCTACTTTAACCTGATAAGTTTTGTTTGCGGCTCTAGTGATTGGGCTTCATTACGTTTACGCATCACTTTGTGGCATATATACTGCATCCGGTTAACTTCTGGACCGGTGATAAGGGATGATTGAGGTCTTCAGGTCTCAGGGAGCAAATTTTTGTAACTACAAAATAAAGCTACTCCCACAGTTACCTTGTGTGCACGGATCTTCAGCATCCTTGAAATTCGTTTTTTATGTCACAAATGACACAAGTTGGCAGGTGTTGCGGTGGTGGGGGACCTCTGGACTCAAATCACCAATGGTTAGTGACACTGGCGGAAATAGCCGAATCACGCGCTGTTGCATCAAAGCTATCGCCTTCAACGCGTAGCTATTCAATTTCCGAACATACCTTCTCCAACGCTTGGTTGTGGGTCCCACGCTCCCGTTTTCCGGTGATCGGAACAGTAGCATCTGGGACCAATGCGCCTATGGTACACGGTTTACAGCTGATAAATTTGAATTGGGTGTTGCTGTAGCTTCGCCAATGCGTGCACTGATTTATGCGTTACAGAATAGGGGGACTGCAACGATACGTAAACTACTCAACAATCTCCAGCTCTCTGCCTTGAAGTTTCAACAGGACGCAAGATGACTAGAAAGCCTGGAACAGTACTTTGAAGTGTGCCAAACGCGCAGCAACATTTAATCCGGAATGGGCTGTGTGAACTGTTGCGTGTCAAGTGACAAACCAATGTTGTCCATGTTACTTAAGCCCACTGTGCGATTTACAGGAGCCATTTCGATTCCTAGATATCCGTTTCTTTGGATTATACATTCCGTGAATGTATAGGTGACGGAACTTAACAAAGTGGGCGATTGTAAACAGCCTTGACGAACGCCAATGGTACTGGGGAGGCTTTTGGTCAGTCCGTGGTAAATTCCAGCACAATCAGAGGTGTTGGAATAAAAGCCATGAAGTATAGTGACACTTCAGTAACATTCTCCTTTGACTTATGTGCTGAGTCAAATACTCCTTTGAAGCCGAGCAGAAATATCGAGTGTTAATCAGAAGTAGACGTGGTGCCGCTCAAACACTTGGAGTGGTGTGAAGTTATGGTCAATGCGCACCCTACGTTACCGAAATTCGGCTGTATGTTCTCGATTTTGCATCCAATGTGCCAGAGTTAGGTGTCGCAGCATCAATAAGGGCTATGGCGTTCGTGAAACTTGTACGGCTCGAGGCAGAAACATTGACTTCGGGTACCTTCCGTTAATATGTGTAATCTTTCAGTTGCAATACCCTTTCGGCACCTAGCTGCCATGCCACCCGAAGTAAATATGAGGGCTGTCCAAGCCTAAACAGGATAAGTCGAGAGGCAGAGGTCGAACCACGGAACTTCCGGTCAATAAATTCGCACTCGAACCACTTGAGCCATCTCGCCCCACCTTCCATTAATAGACTGAGTGGATTCTGGTACTTGATCTTGTTTCCTCCACACGCGACCAGTTGACCTGTGATACAAGAGTATATCTGGCTAACTGTCACGGGAGGCCCACAAATCCATGTAACTATCCATCTGTTATTACCAGTGGCGGAAATGTGTCTCACTGTGATTCAGCTAATACTCAGTCGGCGAGGATGGACCTTGCGGAGGTAGCTTTTTTCGTCATAATTTTAATTGTTCACCTAATCACACCAATCTCTCTACTCATCTTTCAGGTCTACTCTGTGATCTTTTATGGTCCGATCCGGACAAGGATGTCACGGGGTGGGCCGAGAACGACCGTGGGGTGAGCTTCACATTCGGCCCGGATGTCGTCTCCAAGTTCCTCAATCGGCATGATTTGGACTTGATTTGCCGAGCACATCAAGTAGTCGAAGATGGCTTCGAATTTTTCCATCGACGACAACTGGTCACCCTGTTCTCCGCGCCCAACTACTGTGGTGAATTTGACAACGCTGGAGGGATGATGACAGTGGATGAGAATCTGACATGCTCTTTTCAGGTATCCCACTGCCTTCATGATATATAACTCAGATGCTCGGTATCCTAATTTCTCTGGGGCAAATCTGCACACGAATTTACTCAGCTGTTCACTCCGTCCGGTTCGGGGACTCACGTTTAACGGCCTGTCTGAATGACTAGACCACGACGGTCGTATTGCTTCATCTGGGTGTAATGTATGGCAGGTAAACATACGGTGAATAAGAAAATCTACTCGTTTATGGCTAGGTTAACGATGGTAGTCTGGCTTCTCTCATTAGCCAGTATTTACCGTGAATGTTTACACGACTATGGTTTACACTGTCAAGTGAGCTTCATTCTTATGACAGCATAGACGTCATCAACTGGAATACCTGAAAAGCACTAGGGTGTTCCCTTACGATAAAAATTCTTGTAGCGGAATCCATCTCATGTACGCAGGAGATAAGCATTTTGGCACTCTCGCCACCTATGTCTGGTAGTGAGTCTTCCATAATCGTAACATTGACGGAGTTGAAAAGAAAAGGTATAAGAGGCTGGTCATGCCTGATACCACTTGATTTTGTTGAACCGAAGCGAGAGCTTCTCGTCGACATTCTCACGTCTGCGGGAGGTGGCATGCAGCTCCTTAAGGAGGGTCAAGTATTTATGGGGAGCAGCTTTGCGCCGTAGACACTGTCGAAGTGTCTGACGATCCACAGGGCCAAGGGCAGCTTTCAGATAAAGGAACACAACGATTGATGGTTGCTGGAAGCAGTATCGCTGTTCGAGAATCGTCGGAGGATGAAGATGTGATCGATACTTCCTCTTGCAGGACGGAACCCAGCTTGGTTTTCACCTATCTGTATCTTCCTCTGTCCAGTTAACCTCCGAAGGATAAGCTCAGAGTACACGTTGGATATCTCAGCTACCAGGCTGATGCAGCGGTGGTTTTCACACAGCGTCCGTGTTCCCTTTTTGAAGATAGGAATAACTGTCGACATGCCGCATTCTACAGTCACTTTCCGTTCACTCCATATCGTTCCATTGAGCTTATCCGCCTTCTTTGAAAAAGGCTGGACACAGAGTGTGCGATCGTGGTGCATTCTCACGTTTCAGTACCGATATTTCGTACTTTATTTTTTGCCCTTACGGGCGATTAAGGTTTACGTTTCCATGTCGCGTATGCGCTATCTTGAACAACTCCGTTGCAGGATGCCAAGTAAACCGTTCTTTGACATGTTCGGCCCATCATCCCAGTCGGCGTTTTTACGAGTGAACTAACTAGTCAACTTTTTCACCTGTCTTTTCACCGACTGTTGCTTTCCTACCGCATTCGATCATGTCAGTTGATATAGGGCATGGCTGTTTCCGGTAGCATAAGCTTTTGCTGGTAGTTCTGACAAAAGCCGATCGAAGTTCGCGCTCAGGTTTGAACTGTTCAGATCAGTTCCTCTTTAAGCTTCTGTATTACGGTGCACCTTTACCAGTTGATCTAATTTTTCTATCATTCGTTCTGGACCCAAAATTGTCTGTCTTTGCGTACTCTATAAAGGATGTTAGTGGCAGATCTTTGGTTATGTGCTTTGTCGTCGCAGTGACAGCTACAAAGAGGAAATCACGCATATGATATAGTCGCATGATCGGATGGAGACAAACATGCGACTAACTGCGATCAGTCACGTTTCTTTGAACCAGCGATGAGACAGCTAAAATCCTCCAAACATCCCACGTTTTATCTTTCCTTGATCTGAAGACAACCTTTTACACTGTCGATTATCAGAAACTGTGGCATTGTTTGGCGATCAAAGGTGTCCTTTCCAAATTTATGTCCCTTTTGAGAGCAATGTATGTGAACTCCTGTGGTCGCGCACAAATATACCGCCAGATTTCGTTTGAGTTCACCACGTCCTGTGGTATAACACCTTTGCTCTTCAACTTTCCTATTGATGTGCTGCCTGCGCTGCACACCTGCAAAATGTAAAGTGCTTGTACACGGCTGGGTGGGATCGAACCCCAACCTCATGCTTACAGGTGAGCCAATCGACGTGACGTATAAATTTGTTTACCTGGGCAGTTGTGTATGTTCCGTTGAACTGGCTGGAGGTAAGATTACTTCTTGAATCGGGAAGGCTAGGGCAGGTTTTGCCCATGTCCGACACCTATGTCGCCAACATGAAGTCAGATTGTCTGTCAAGGGCAGTGCGATCCATACTGTTTTATGGATCAGAGACGTGGCCTGTACACGCATAGGACGTGTACTAGAGATGTCAGTGTTTGAGAATCGGTCACTCCGAAACATTGGTCGGCTCCGATGGGACTACCGGATTAGTAATGCTGAGGCACGCCAGGTGGTCGTTGGAAGAAGGAACTCTCCCGCGATAGAGATGAGTTACTTAGGCTCCATAGGTTACGCTAGTTAGAACATGTGCTTCGCGTGCCAGAAGACCATCTGCCTTGCAGAACTCTTATCGTCCACACCCTTCTGAATGGAAGCTTCCGAGTGGTAGACATGGCATGACCTGGCGGTGGAATATGAGAACACTAACCTGGGGCGAGATGGCCCAAGTGGTTAGAGCGCGGATTTATTGACCGGAAGGTCCGTGGTTCGAATCCGCCCTCCGCCACTCGACTTCCCCTGTCTAGGCCTGGGCAACCTGGCAGTATCCCAGCCCTCGTGCTTCCTTCGGGTGGCATGGCAGCTAGGCACCGGAAGGGTGCTACAGCTGAACGCTTTTTTTAACTGAGTACGGTCGATAACTGCCGCCTCACCGGATGGGTAACTCAACTCACCAGTTGTTATTGACACTGATAGAAATGGTCCGATCGCGTAGTCAGTGGCGCTTCTGCCGCAAAGCTGTCGCCTTCAGTGCGTGGCTAAGTAAACATTCCATCACCTCCAAGGCTTGGCAGTATGTCCCCCACACTCTCTAACTTTCAGGTGATCGAAACTGTAGCAGCTGGAATCAGTGTGCCCATGGTACGCGGTTTATAGCTGATAAATTAAATTGAATAGATAATCGGTTGACACAATAAAATTTGCCTAGTCGTGATTACTCTGGCTCAGTAGTAGAATAATTTTCTGTGTTTGGGCTCTTTCACTTCAATAACATCCAACTTACGCGTTTGCTCTCAAGCCTAGTTACAGTGGTATTTATCACTCAACTTAGTTACTGATGATTGTCACACTAGTCTTCTGAAGTGTGGATAGGTTCAATTAGGCTAAATGATGATGGCCACGTGGTTGACGGTACACCTTTTGTTGTGCTCGCCCGATTAGCGAAACATTCATTGCTGGACAGGACGATATTCCCGGAGATAATCTTCACACACGATTAACGGAGAGCTTAGTGATCACGTCTTATGGTTTAGCGTGTTCTAGGAGGCTGACGTTTTCAGGTCTTTTCTCGTTATGAATAGGAGTTTTTGCGCTAATGAAACACTTCTACACGGAAATGTCATCTCATGGCAACTTCATTCTTGTTCAGTGCTCTTTCATAGGGAGAATATCATTTCGTCCCGGTTAACTGTCACCCTTAAGAATCTCCAGTGCAATTTCCTGCCTGGGATATCAGCTTATCTGTTTTGTGGCTAAAGTGCTCTTAATTACGATGTAGCGCCACTCATCTGTCAATCACACAATTCGTGTCAAGTAGTCATCACTTCGAATGACTCGTTTTGGAAGAAAAAGCCCACGTGTTTTTCTCTATCGAGGTTCTGAATTTGATGGTTCGTGCCGAACATGATATATCATCGGTTTGTCAACTTACATGAAATGTAATCCTCTATGGCCAGAGAGGCGACAATTTTTTGTGGCTACGATTTTTTGAGACGTTGGATGGGACTGTAACGAATTTCGCTGAAATCTCCCAAAATAGGACGTTTGTTGCCCTCAAAATCTAGTGCGAGGAAAATATTTTACTGGCAAATGATGCACCACGTGAGCCGGAGCCCAAACTTGTCTTCACTCACGTAACTTTGGTTACCCTGTCGTTCTTTACAAGGTCATATCCCATTTTCTGCATTCTAACTTATTACTTTTGTCCGATGCACCCAGGTACTGAAGCCATCGGAGAAGAAAGCCAAGTACCAGTATCATGGAATGACTCCAGTGACCCAGCAACAGCCTGCAGCACGTGTGGCACAGCCCCGCGTCACGTGATCACAGTATTTTATCCTCAACTCCCCCATTGTACACCGTATTTTGCCCCTGGAGTACTATCCTTCTACGGATAGGTCGGTGTTTCCGCTTACTTCGCTTTTCCTGGCGACGGAGATGAGCGGTGCCTTCCAACCGAATACGTATTCGTGTGTAAGCTATCGATTTGTCGGTCACTCCGTTCTCTGTGCATCAGAATGCCATCGGTGTGTTAGCTGGTTTCGGGGTAGCTGGCCTCCATGCCTTTCAGCATGTTATTTCGTTTGTCGCCAGACACCTTCGTTTTGTCATAGTCTTCTAATCGCGTACCGATGGTGACGGTGGTGATCGTTCCACCCCCATCTACCTCCTCCCCTTGTATCCTTATCCGCTTGTGTGAATCTTATTTCTTGCGTGCGTTTTTCTTCAAACTTGTTTACAACTTTCCACACAAATCAAGAACATCCGACACTGTTACTTGTGATCGTTTATCTCCACTCTTTTTAATTCGCCACCTATCGTTGTTATTCACTGCAGTTTTCGGTCCGTCTTGCTCATGTGAGCGAGCGTGTTCACGCACCCCCATAACACTCACACAAAGCAGAAAACTTTGTACCAGGTTCTGCAGTATTTCTGCATTTTTTTCGAGCCAAGTGCACTTTTACACTCACAGACGTGCTATGTAGAAATGTGAATGTACAACGTACAAGCGCACTTCCCTGTGCTTGTCTTTTCACTTTGGAACGCTTTTCAAGGCACAAACTCCCTGAGAGAATGGTCCGCGGCCCGTATATACCTTCAGCCTATCGGTTATTTCCGTCTGCTACTGAGCCATCATGCTTTTTATGAAGTATGCTGTGTGCGTTACAAGACAGTCTTCGTCGAAAGGTGTGCTTTTCGAGGTTTCTGGTGTTCTTGACAGGTTATCTATCTATCTATCTATCTATCTAGTCCTGGGGGCGGGGGCAGAGAAAGGTGGCCACGTTAGAATTTCCGGAAAACTTACCAAGCTTTCATACCAAAGCAAACGTTTTAGTTACGAATTAAATATTTCCAATAATTGTATTTGAAAGAGCGTGAGCTCTGGACATAACACGCTGCGTTCGGAAGTCGGAAAGTTTTCAGCAGCCTGGCAAAAAGTTCTATTGCAAGAAAGTATGCTTTAATATCTCGGATATAGCGCTAGGGTAAATATGATGCGACTCACTGCAACAGTACAACACATTCAGTTGCGGATAACATAAACGAGCTTCACCTGGAACTCGGTTGCGTGTCCCAGGAACGCTAACTCCAATAACTGTTACTGATCAGTTTTCAAGCTTAGGGGTTGTGGCGGCAACCGCTGTCGAAATGGCATTTCATTGATGGGAATGTCAGTCTACTCAGTACACTTTGATCGTTCATACAACTATCCTTATTGGAATAAGAGCTACAAATTCAAGTAAATTAGTTCATCTATGGCCCTTAACTATCAGAACCTGGTACGGTATTTTCGGAAGACAAAGTAAAATTGACGAAATTTCTCTAGCACTTCATCTAGTTTGAACAAACTAGGTGTTTTCTTGCCTAATGTAGGCTATTCCTTCAACACAGAAGTGTTCTAGCTTTGGTCTGTCGTACAATACAAGTAAACGCGACTGAAGAATAAAATTCCTTGAAGCCCTGCTCAGGCTCGAGTTTTTCGCATTTGTTACTCAATTAGAGCGGCACAATCAGTGTTATTGCAAGCAAGCATCCGAAAACCCTACTACCAGATTAATCGGAATCAGATAGTGAGGATCAAGGCCCTTTACTGTGAGGTTGTCTATTAGCGAACACAGTTATCCCATCTGCACAGAGTTTTTGAGAAGTCAGCATTCTGAAGCGTTCTCTTGAATTCAGGCGGACGTTCTTTGAATATTAAATAATAACGAACGGGCGCTGCAAAGTGGTTCAGTAATTTCCGTACCAACATTCACCTTTCACCAGATTCGGAGCGGAGCTTGAACACCAGACCAGGCGCTACTCGCATGCTTCATCGGTAGTATGCACCATGACACTTAGCTGACATTCGTAGTCAACCGCTTTCAAAACTTAGGTTGATAAACCATTCAGTTTGCTGTTGTGGTTGGTTGCGAGATTCTAAGTACATGTGTTCACATCCCTCTCTTTGAACTGTTTTGATCCAACGATTTCGGTTAGTTCAGACAAAAACGGAGAGCACTGCACTCGAGTTTTGTTGGCACTCGCGCATGTCCTTGGTCGTTCGAGGATTTGAACCCAGAACTTCTTATATACGAGGCAAACGTCGTACCACTTCTCCACTGATACACGCAGGACTCATCTAAATGACAACCATCACCAAATCCTGTGACCCTTCAACTGGTGATTCTGTACGATCAGTAAAGTCAAGGATTTTAAAAGTGAAACTGCACATGTATGTTTGTCTATTCGGTGTTTCACGGCAGTCTAATTGTCACTGTCAACAAATCCGGCAATTCTATTACCAATAGGAGTGTAAAACTCAACTGTTTGGCTGTTGCACCGATTTGTCGCATATTTGCTGCACAGTCTAAAAAAGCAAACAGACTGGCAGAACTGACAAGTTACATAAGCTGCGGTATGTTGGCATTCCTCAGTGCAGCCTAAGTACAATGGAAAGTAGAAGCTTCCAGGGATTTGATCTATTCTGGTCAGGTGGCCAACAAGTATCCATTCACTTATATCCCAGCTCCCAATCTGCAGGTCTTACGTCTGTAACTGAGGCAATGCTGAAATGTGCGAAATCATTAGTCAGTTCGGATTTCCCGCCAGAAATATCGTCCTTTTTAAGATGAAGGTCGATTTGTCCTACCCAACAAGACTAGTCCAGTTTGGGAGGACATGATCAAACAAGTGTTACCACAGACAAGTCCTAACTTGAGTGCGAACTAACTATAAGGCCTCTGTAATGCGGTTGAGGCCTCATAGTTATTTCTCATTTAGTTTAAAACTTGTCAGTGGTAATACTCGTTTTAATCATGTGCTCTCAAACTGTAACGCCTCTTTCAGCTCGAGATAGCCCAGTAGTTAGGGCACGAACGTAGTGACTTGAAGGTCGATGGTTCGAACCTAACTCCAGCACCTCGACCGCTCCTGTCTTCACTCGGTAGCATGATAGCATCTCAGCCCTCCTTTGAGTGGCGTGTCAGCTAGGCACCAAATGGGTGTCACAACTGAACAATAAATCCTCTTTCATGTTAGTTGAACTGTTCCAGATTTAAAGTGTCATAAACCGTCGTTTCTTTTGGCCAGGTGAGACAGAAGAAGCCCGTTCTTCTGTTAAAGCCGTCCAACTTCTACAACGCCTCTTAATCATTCCCTGTCGGTATTCGATGTCTAGGCTCGGGCAACCTTGCCTTCTTCGGGTGGCATGGCAGCTGGCACCAAAAAGGTCGCACAGTTGAACGGTACGATAAGATAGGAATTCGGTATAGTTTACAGGTGAACCAGAAACAGATGAATCTAGAGGTGTTTCAGTTTGATTCAGAGTTCACAGTTTAGTGTTATACGCTGGTTACTTTTTTCAAACTTTGACATCGAGTCCCGAACTGAACAGTTCGAGTTCCTTTCCACAACGGACATAGCCTGGTAAATAATAGACATATGAGGGAAGCTGTCTTCTAACGCTGTGAACGTTGCCCGTTTTCAGTAGTCCAACTATCTTGTCGTCACTCGTTTCGGATACGCATCTACCCATCAGTGCTAGCAATGTAAATATTTAAACTGTGCGCTAAAGAATCATCATCAACAAGGATTTGTAAAACTTTTCTTAGTTTGATTGGACTTCAGGAGATTCATAGGCGTTCGCCCGAGTTTTGTAACCGAAAAACTGACAGAATGGTATCGGAGTGTCCCTGTGCAGTAAGTCAATTCCGCGAGTTCCATTGCGGTCAACCAGGAGAGCCGAACCTAGGTTAAAAAGAAACGTCCAAAACTTTTAACTAGTTGTCTTCCATTTTCTGTGTGGATTACGTTTGTAATCACCTGGCAACGCCATTGGTACTAGCGCAAATGGAAATTTCGTTTAATGTGAAAATATCTTCAGTATCAGATTATTTTTCCGAAAATAACTTTGCTCACTTAGTCAACTAACCTGAAGGACATCCTCTCAAACTGCGGAACACGGAGGGTAAATCTTAGACAATTTATTTGTCTTGTCTTAGGGAGATGGTAACTTTTATCCGCCTTCACGCCGAGGGATATTCATGACATTAGCTTCATCCCTTGCTTCTTGCGAGAAGTTTCTCCTAACTGTTGGTTTCACCACGACGTGACCCAATAGAACATTTTTCCATCTGTTTTTTCATTGGGCAATCAAGTCTAATCTGTTGATACTCCCTATTCTCGCTTCGCGTGACCTGACAGCTCGTTAAGGGCGATCAGTCATCGTTTTCGATGGTGACTCAGCCACTAGCGGTTTAGTCCGTTAACTGCGAGTGAGCTTCAGTCATTAAATGAATCCCCTTCAGATGCTAGGCAGTTAGTTTCAAATTTATTGTTAGCAGAGCACATTAATTTTGTCCCAGTTCAGTCATAATCGGCTACTTATAGACGAGTACGCTTTAAATGATCTTAATACAACCATTTCCAATGAGACACACATAGTTATTCAAGTCAAGTCACGTGATAAGTCGAGGAATGTTTGCATTCTTAGAGAGTTAGTATAATGATCTTCAAAGGTATGGTTTAAAAGCAGAGGTTTATGAGATATTTTTAACGAGTAAATCTCCCTCTAAAGTAAAGTATCACAGTTTCCTAGCGTACTGGTAAGTAAGCTGTACTATCCCTATTAATTAGTGTATGGCTATATTGATTTATGGTTTCGGAAAAAGCGTCACATGAAGGTTGCATCCGATAAAATGCTCTTAGGTGACCTATTGAATTGATCAAAATCAAATGAGGTTCTTTCGACAAGTCGATAACATTTGGATAAGACAGGAGTACAGAGTACTCAGACAATAGGGCAAAAGCGGCAACTAATTTTATAATAAGACCCCACTGGGTCAGAGTTGAAAGATCTGAGTGATTGAAAAGAACGTTTTCTAATCCAGAGGAAAGCAGTTTCGACATGTTTTGTCAAGTTCATATACTTCAGGACGTATTCGTCAGTGGTGGAGAGCACTGCATTTTTATACCCGCCATGTGGCTGGACGTTAGATTGGTACACTTTGGCGTGGGTTGGTATGCCAATGGACAGTCGGCCCAGTAAACGATACAAAATACGGTCCGGGCAGTTTCCGGGGAATAAGACTCTGAGAACTTTTCTCTTGTTAAGCTGAGGGATTAAAACTTGCACGAAACTAAAAGCCACCATTATAAATGCTGGAAATTTGCAATTATCGACTGATCTTTAGCATGCTTAGTAAAAAAATAACTCACAAGGGGTATTAATCCGACATGGCGTTTAAATTGGGAATAAGGTCCCGGCGTTAATGACCAACGTAGCTGAAAAAGCTATGTATGAAGTCTTTTTACAGTGATGATGAGTGCTACCTGATGACCCTACCCAATTCCAAATCAATCGATGCGAACAATTGCTTTCCGCGCTCTTCAAGAAAATCCAGCTTCTATGCATAGAGTGCGGAAAAATTGGATAAGAGGAAACCGAGCTATTTGGAAATTCAACTCCAGACTGATCGCAAACAGCAAAACTGGAGTAAAAACCACTAGGATTTGTATTCTGGATGCCGTTGTTTCAACAAGCTTTCTACTGTCCTAGCGCAGTGCCTATTGTGATGGAAAAATGGCCTTGAGTTCTCTTATTGGAACTCATCAGCAGCGCCAAATGGCGTGTCAGGATTCCTATCCGGGACATTCGATATGCGAGACGAGCGCGTTGCCATCAAATCAAGATTAACTCACTCCG